CTGAGGCGAGCGGGCCCTCGATGCCGAACTCCTCGCGGCGAATGTGCTCCTCGGGAGCGGCCAAGAGGGGGGTGTCCAAGAGGGGGGGGTGCAAATCATGACCGGCGGCATGTGCGCGGCCCAGCGGGGGGGGGCCAGATACTTAACGAAATAAGAAGAGGCGCCTTGAAATCTGGGGAACTATCGTGGCCCACGCCATGATATCCACCCCCCCCCCAGTCGTCACCCCCCTCTTTGCCGCCCCCGAGCTCCACGAGCGCCCGCGCGGCCTCCTCGCCGCCCGGGAAGGCGCCGCCGTGCGCCGGCGCCCCAGCCCGCAGCCGCGCGGCAAACGCGAGCGCGGAGAGGCCGCTGGCCGGCGCGCCCTCGCCCGGCACCAGGAGCAGCCCGGCGCCCTGCGGCCCGCCCAGCGGCACGGGCGCGCAGTTCTCGCCCTCGCGGCGCCCTCCTGTGAAGGGGCCCTGGAACACACAAATAAATACACACAAACAAAATGATCCCGGCAAAGCAACCTAACAGCGATGTGTATAAGCATATCTGGAAGCATTCCCCTTAGGATTCAGGTGAGAATCCAGTTGTAGAATTCTGCTGTTCTCGCAGTCGCAGTCGCATTCGCAATGACAGTCACAGTGGCAACGGTCTTAGGATCCAATGGAATCCTAAGGATTCCTAGGGATTCCTAAGGCATCCTTCGGCATACTTAGGAAATCCATTCGAATACTTAGGAAACCTCAGGAATCCTTAGGAATCCTGATTCCTAGGGATTCTTAGGGATTCCTAAGGATTCCTAGGGAATCCTAAGGATTCCTAAGGATTCCTGAGGATGCTTAACTATGCCTACGGATTCCTAAGGATTCCTACGGATTCCTAAGGATTCCTATGGATTCCTAAGGATTCCTATGGATTCCTACGGATGCCTCAACCTGCCTCAGTTTCAGCCTCAGCCTCAGCCTCAGCCTGCCTCGGCCTCAGCCTCAGCCTCAGCCTCAGCCTCAGCCTCAGCCTCAGCCTCAGCCTCGGCCTCAGCCTGCGTCAGCCTCAGCCTCAGCCTGCCTCAGCCTCAGCCTGCCTCAGACTCAGCCTCAGCCTCAGCCTCAGCCTGCCTCGGCTTGCCTCAGCATCAGCCTCAGCCTGCCTCGGCCTCAGCCTGCCTCGGCCTCAGCCTGCCTCAGCCTCCCCTCCTCCCCCCCCCTCCCCCCCAGATTCCCCCCCCCATTCAGCCTCACCTTGTCTCAGCTTCGGCCTGCCTCGGCCTCATCCTCAGCCTCAGCCTCAGTCTCAGCCTCAGCCTGTCTCGGCCTGAGCCTGCCTCGGCCTCAGCCTCAGCCTGCCTCAGCCTCAGCCTGCCTCAGCCTCAGCCTCAGCCTGTCTCAGCCTCAGCCTGCCTCAGCATCAGCATCAGCCTCAGCCTCAGCCTCAGCCTGCCTCGGCTTGCCTCGGCCTCAGCCTCAGCCTGCCTCGGCCTCAGCCTCAGCCTCAGCCTGCCTCAGCCTCAGCCTGCCTCAGCCTGCATCAGCCTCAGCCTCAGCCTGCCTCAGCCGCAGCTTGCCTCAGCCTCAGCCACAGCCTACAGCCTCAGCCTCAGCCTCAGCCTGCCTCAGCTTCAGCCTCAGCCTCAGCCTGCCTCGGCTTGCCTCGCAGCCTCAGCCTCAGCCTGCCTCGGCCTCAGCCTCAGCCTCAGCCTGCCTCAGCCTCAGCCTCAGCCTCAGCCTCAGCCTGCAGCTCAGCATCAGCCTCAGCCTCAGCCTGCCTCAGCCTCAGCCTCAGCCTGCCTCGGCCTCAGCCTGCGTCAGCTTCAGCCTCAGCCTGCCTCGGCTTGCCTCAGCCTCAGCCTCAGCCTGCCTCGGCGTGCCTCAGCCTCAGCCTCAGCCTGCCTCGGCCTTAGCCTGCCTCGGCCTCAGCCTGCCTCAGCTCGGGCAGTCAAAATATGGCACAGGACTAGTGTTCTGGGAACACGAAGATCGCGAAGTCGCCCACAGCTGGCTCCGGGCAATCAAACTATGGTACAGGAATGGTGTTCTGGGACACGAAGAACACGAAGTGGCCTACAGTTGGCTCCGGGCATTCAAAATGTGGCCTGGGAATGGTGTTCTGGAAACACGAAGAACACGAAGTGGCCTACAGTTGGCTCCGGGCATTCAAAATGTGGCCTGGTCATGATTTTCTGGGAAGACGAAGAACACGAAGTGGCCTACAGTTGGCTCCGGGCATTCAAAATGTGGCCTGGGAATAATGTCTGGGAACAGAATCTGTAGGAACCCATAAGAAACTATAGGAATATATCGGAGTCCTGGGGAGTCCCCGGATTCTCCGGATTCTCCCGGCACCCGCCCAGACCCCTTTGGGGAGTCAAGATGCTCTCTTTTGAGCCCACTAGAAACCTATCGGTCTTCGCTGTTAGGTAAATATTCCCCATATTTTCCCATATTTTCTGGGTTTTGGTCTTCCCCCCCACTTCCCATAGTTTCCCATATTTTCGGGGGAGTCGACGATGAATTGTGCCTGTGTGTGTCTTCCCCTCCTGACTCCTGGGCAATCGTCGACCACCTCGTCCTTCACGGCCGCCCCGGCCGGCCCGCTCCCGCCCAGGAGCACGAGGTCCGGCATCGGCGGTGCCGGCGGCGCGTCGCACACCTCCGGCAGGAGCGCGCAGGCGTCCTCGTCCGGGCCCTCGCTCTCGCCCGCGAGGCAGCGCTCCAGGTCCGAGGTCCAGGCCTCGACGCGGAGCAGCAGGCCGGCGGTCTGCAGAGCCCGCCTGGCCCTCGGGCTCCCCCAGCTCGCCTCGAGGAGCTCCTCGGCCATCGCCGACACTGGGCGCAGGAGCCCGGCGAGCAGCAGCCTGCTGGCGCAGAAGGGGTCAGGGAGCGCCCCCAGCAGCTCCGCGAGGAAGGCGGCCACGGCCGCCCGCTCCTCGACGTCGCCTTCCTCGGTCGGCACGGCCACGGCGTCGGAGTAGGCGCGCCAGAACCTCGGCGGCAGGCCGTCGGCTCCGCAGGTGTGCACACCTGCCAGCAGTGCCTCCGCGGCGGACCGTCCATTGCGGCACACTGGCGTGATGGCGGCCTCCCAGGCGCCATAGGCGGCAGCAGCCGCGCCCACCTTGAAGAAGCGCCCGCCGCCCGCGTCGAACGCGAGGATGCCGAGCCCTGGCGCGGCGGATCGCAGGAAGCCGTGGAGCTCCTGGGGAAACCATAGGTACCGATACCGCTACTCCCCAGACCTCTCACGGGGTGCGTTCTGACCAGGATGCCGACGGTGGCGACGAGGGCCCCCCAGGAGGCCCAGAAAGTGGAAAACGAGGGAAGGGTAGCAATATCGGGTGGATGATGGACCGCTGGCCCAACACACTACCAGAGGCAGGAAGGATGGGGAGGTTCTCCTCCCCCTCCTCCTCCGTCCTCCTCCTTCCCCTCCTCCTCCTCCTCCTCCTCCTCCTCCTCCTCCTCCTCCTCATCCTCCTCCGCTTCTTTTACCTTATAAATAACTTCTCCCTGTCACGCCCCGAGGCCAGTTTCTAGGGCGGGCCAGGCGTTTCGCCTGAGACTTCCTCACCATTTATAACCCTGAAGCGTAAACACTGGCAAAAGATTCACAGATGGAGGGCGGGTGGTTTTCAAAATGTGGCTCTCGCCGTAGAACCGCGCACATTCGTTCCAAGCATTTGCAAGAGCTTCATGGATTGAGGGCGGCCCGTTTTCAAGATATGGCTCTCGCCTTAGCGCCGCGCACACTCGTTGTAAACATTTGCAAGAGCTTCTCGGATTGAGGGCGGTTACTTTCGAAATGCGGCTCTCGCCTTAGCGCCGCGCATATTCGCTTTAGAAACTTGCAAAAGTTTCACGGATTGAGGGCGACCCGTTTTCAAAATATGGCTCTCGCAATAGAACCGCGCACATGTGTTTTCAGCATGTGCAAGAGCTTCACGGATTGAGGGCGGCTCCTTTTCGAAATGCGGCTCTCGCCTTAGCGCCGCGCACAGTCGCTCTAGAAACTTGCAAGAGTTTCACGGATTGAGGGCGACGCGTTTTCAAAATATGGCTCTCGCCGTAGAGAGAGAGAGACGTTTTGAACATTTGCAAGAGCTTCACGGATTGAGGGCGGCTCCTGTTCAAAATGTGGTTCTCGCCGTAGAACCGCGCACATTCGTTGTATAAACCTGCAAGAGCTTCACGGATTAAGGGCGGTTCCTTGTCAAAACGTGGCTCCCGCCTCCGCGCCGCCCACGTACAAAACTTTCACGGATTCCCAGGATCGACGCACCAGGCATGGCGTTCAGGAAAAAACATGGTTATACGGGCGCGACAGTGACGCTGATTCGCGGCTTTGGAGTCCCAGGAATGGCGTTCTGGCACGGTTCAGGCTCGTCAAGACGCAGCAATCACGTTGATCCGAGGCGTTGGAACCCGAGAACAATGTTTCGGCTTGCTTCAGAATCTTCAGTCGGTTCTTCCGACGAGGCAGTTCCCTGTGGAGATGCACCGTTGTAGGAGCCTATGAAGAGGGAGCTTGGAGGGAGAGTGTATGCCAACATCATTGTTGACTCTTGGGTTTACACTAATCCTCCTCCTCCTCCTCCTCCTCCTCCTCATCCTCCTCCTCCTCCTCTTCCTCCTCCTCCTCGTCCTCCTCCTCCTCCTCCTCCCCTCCTTCTCCCCCTCCTCGTCCGCGTCCTCGTCCTCGCCCTCGTCCTCCTCGTCCTCGTCCTCCTCCTCCTCCTCCTCCTCCTCCTCCCCTCCCCTCCTCGTCTCTCCTCCTCCTCTCCCCTTCCTCCTCGTCTTCCTCCTCGTCCTCCTCCCTCTCCTCCTCCTCCTCCTCCTCCTCCCCCTCCTCGCCCTCCTCCTCCTCCTTCTCCTCATCCTCCTCCAGTTCATCCTCCTCCCATCGTCCTCGTCATCGTCCTTCCTCATCCTCGCCCTCGTCTTCCTCCTCCTCCTCCTCCTCCTCCTCCTCCTCCTCCTCCTTCTCATCGTCTCCACTTCTTTGCCTTATAAATAACTTCTCCATGTCGCGCCCCGAGGCCAGCTTTCAGGGCGGGCTGGGCGTTTCGCCTCAGACTTCCTTACTATTTACGGTCAGTAGGCCCCCGAAGCTTAAAAGTTTGCAGCAGCTTCACAAATGGAGGGCGGGTGGTTTTCAACATGTGGCTCTCGCCTTAGCGCCGCGCACATTCGTTTTAAACAATTGCAAGAGCTTCACGGGTTGAGGACGGGTGGTTTTCAACATGTGGCTGCTCGCCTCAGAGCCGCGCACATGATTTTAACAAACTCCCAGAGTTGCACGGATTGAGGGCGGTTCCTTTCCAAAACGTTGCTCTCGCCTTAGCGCCGCGTACATTTGCTTTGAGAATGTATAAAAATTATTCCGGGTCCCATGATCAACGTACGAGAAAGTATGTTTAAAACCATCCGGATTATGAGGGTACAATCGTTACATTGATTCACGGCGTTGAAGTCCATTGAATGGCACTCTGGCACGATCCAGGATCGTCAAGACGCAACAGTCAAGTTGACCGTTGCGTTGGAATCCCGAGAACAATGTTTTGGCACGCTTCAAGTTCTTCAAACGGTTGCCTTCCAACGAGGCAGTTCCCTCAGTGGAGATGAACCCTTGTGGGGGCCTCTGAAGGGGGAGCTTGAAGGAGGGCGTATTCCAACATCATTGATGACTCTTGGGTTTACACTGGTCTCCTCCTCCTCCTCCTACTCCTACTCCTCCTCCTCCTCCTCCTCCTCCTCCGCCGCATGCTCCTCCTCCTCATCCGCCTCCTCCTTCTCCTCATCCTCCTCCTCGTCCTCCTCCTCCTCCTGATCCTCCTGCTCCTCCTCCTCCTCCGCCTCCGCCTCCGCCTCCGCCACCTCCTCCTCGTCCTCCTCCTCCTCCTCCTCCTCCTCCTCCTCCTCCGCCTCCTCCTCCGCCTCCTCC